TCACCAGGGCCCACCTGGCCTCCTACTTTTAGCTGAGACCTGGAAATGACCCTGTAGTAGAGAAGAGTCCCCCAGGTGGAAGGTCCCCAAGGCCTGGCTTAGTGGGCAGGGGGCACCTTTCCTGGCAGGTCCCAGCACCAGCTTGGGTCTCCCGTGAGCCTCTTCTGCCCCCCTGCTGAAGGGAGGCTTTGGTGGGCTGGAGCGCATTCCCATGGGGACGGGGCAACCCGTGTTCCTCAGGTCTGTCTCTTTACCTTTGCCACGGGCAGAGCCCATGGGGATATATTTTCCTGGTGGATTTTTTTCAAGTGTCTGCCTGAGAATCAGAAATTTGCTGCTGTCCACCTTAACATACCTAATAATTCTATTTGGGGCAGTAAATGCCTACTAGATAAGAAGATACTCAGCATAACTACGATTTCCCACAGATTTCTTTCCTTCTAGGTCTAGGCCATGGGAGAGCTGTAGCAACAGACAAGGTCATACTTCAGAGCGAGCTGAAGGCTCTGAAGTCTGGGAGTGCCTGTGGGGAAGCTGGACGGGTAGCCAGTGAACTCAGAAGACATGCTGGTCTTGGGGAGCCATGTGGCGACAAGCCGCACACCCAAGGCTCCCCGTGCGGCCCTGTCGTTGTAGGACCCCTGGGAACCACCATACCCCGAGGCTTGCGGTGTGGGGCGTGACAGGGAAAGGAGCTGGCTTGTCCTAGGTCCCCAGAGATCAGGTTTTAGGCTGGGCTGAGCCGGGGCCAGGCAGAAGGAAGGTGGCTCAGTTCCATGGTCGGGTGCTCAGACACTCAGCCCGATGGCAGAACAAAGAAACCTCCCGCACCCAGTCCCGCTGCCTCGCTTCACAGTGGAAGTGCTGGCCAGGCCCTGGCTGACGTCAGGCCAAGGGGCAGGGCCTGGCCCAGAATGGTGGCCGCCCCGGAGTACCCCCGTCAGCCTAGGGAGGCCCTGGTTTGCCTGCAGAGTCTTTGGTGCGCGGTGAAGTGTGGAAAGATGGGCGAGTGGGGAGCCTCCTGTCCCTGAAACCTACGTCAGAGGGGCCGTCGGCACCCTTGGCCCCGTGAGGTCTCAGTTCCGCCTGCGCACAGGGGCCATTTGGCAGAGTCCTCGGCGGGCTGGCCACTGCCGCTTCCGCTTGGGTGGAGCGAGTGAGGGTGGCGCGGGGTGGTGGCCGGCTTCCCAAGTCATGGATGTCACAGGTACAGGCCTCAGAGCTGGGCCCTGCTTCAAGAGCAAGGAGGAATCGGCAGCAGCGGTCTGCCATTATTCGGGCTTCAAACGCAGAGCGACGGAGAGAAGGGGCCCCCGCCCCCCCGCCGCTGGCGTGGGAAACCCTCCCGAGCAGCCCGCGCCCTGCCCCGCTGCTCTCCCAGCGCCGCGCTCTCCGAAGCCCCAGCCAGGACTGTCTTAAACGAACACGGCCCCAGCCCCAGTGAGCGGACTCCACCCCGGTGCCCGCGCTCTCACGCAAGCGGAGCTGGACAGTCAGGAGCTTCCGCTGCCGTTGGCCACGTGACAAAAGGCCGGCTTGACAGTGTCCCCGGGGCCACCCCATTTCTTGGCCCTCGCTGCCCTCTCTCACCGGGGAGCTGGCCTGGTCCGTGCGTGAGCAAGCGCACCTGTCACCTATGTGGGCCTGTGCCCCCATGAGCCTGTGGGCCCTGCGGAAGAGTCCCTTCTGGAAGCCCCAGGCCTGCTCTACGGCTCCTCCTCGCCGCCGGGCTCCCAAGGTCCGTGGCTCCCCCAAGGCGGGGACAAGGTCTCCGAGGTCCGTGGCTCCCCCAAGGCGGGGACAAGGTCTCCGATGCGGCCCCTGCCAAGCTTGATCTGTTCTTTGTATTCTTCCGAGTGATTTTCTTTGTAAAAATGAAGGGTTATTTTTTTAAGTACTGCTTTTTTATTTGTTTTAAGGACCTTTGGGAAGGTCAGGCTTATTCTTTGTCTTCCCCCATGTAAGTTGTGAGGTGTTGGTTAGGTCCTGGTTCCTGAGAAACGATTTGCTGCTCTTCGGGATGGGGCTTCCCATGGGGTGGGTCAGGGACGGGGCCCCTGTGGCTGCCATGCGAGAGCCCCTGCTTCATCTCACTGGACTCTGTAAAGAATGCAGAAATGACTGGAAAACAGTAATGTCACTGGATACTTACTTAGAAATAAAAGTGAGTGCTACTGGATCAGAGGCAGTTTCTGTGTTTGTTGGTTCAGGTGGCAAATAGCATGGGTCACACACTCCTGGACTCAGCTCTGTGTCACCACCTACCAGACTTGGGGTGGGGGGTGGGGGGCGCAGCAGCAGACGTGTTGCCCAAGCCGTGCGCGGTGGGCTTCGGATCAGGCAGGCCTGGGCCTATTCCTGCCCCAAGTCGAAGGATCTAGCACAGGCCCAGCTTCCAGCCAGCCCACAGCTGCAGCCGCCCGCAGGTGCCAGGAGTCCGTCCTCCCCAGGGCTCCCTGGGGTTGCAGGTGAGCCCCCGTGCGCCCCTCCCAGGCTGTGGAAGCAGGAACACGCGGGCCCATCCCCAGCTTCTGAAGCCACAGAGCCGCAGGAGTCTGGTGGAAGGTGGTGGTGGCATTCTCCGTGGGAAGCCTGCAGCCTCCGTTTAGTTTTACCCTCTCATTCTTCCAAAAGGCATCCAAAGCTGCTTATGGTAACAGGCACAGACAAAAAAAGAAATACACGGAATAGAAAGCGAAAGCAGGTAGGACAGCCTGTCCTGATCCCAGGCCTGGGCCTTCTGGCAGGGAAGCCAGTGCTGGCCCTTAGTTCCTTTCAACCCTGCAACTCATCCCATTCCCGCTCCCCCAGCCAAAGAAGGAAGTGGGGAGAATATATCCCACCTGGGACCCTACCTGTACCTGGGCTGCCAAACCAGGTGCCCAGACCCTGCCGGGGCCAGGTGGGGAGCCAGGTGGGGAGCCAAGGCTGGGTGTGAGGGACACGGGGCCTGCCTTCATCGGCTCCCTTTTCTTTTTTTTTTTTTTTTTAAAGATTTTATTTATTTATTTGAGAGAGAGAATGAGAGACAGAGAGCATGAGAGGGAGGAGGGTCAGAGGGAGAAGCAGGCTCCTCGCCGAGCAGGGAGCCCGATGCGGGACTCGATCCCGGGACTCCAGGATCATGACCTGAGCCGAAGGCAGTCGCCTAACCAACTGAGCCACCCAGGCGCCCCTTTCGGCTCCCTTTTCCACCTTTGAAGAGACCTGGGTTCAAAGAAAGATTTCTCTACGTAATAAAACTTTGTGAGTGTGATGACAGGTGGCAGCGGAACGATGGGGACCCTGGCAGAATCTTCTCAGGCTGCCACTGGCTGCAGGGGACGCTGGGCAATAGCGTTGTGCCAAGCAGAGTGTCCTGACAGTAAAAGGAGAATGGATCCCAAGTGGCACCTGCCAGAGGGAACTGGTATTTTTCGTTCACATTTCAACCCTCTTCTCAACTCCTAGAAGAAGCACTCAGGGTGGAGGGGAGCGAGCCAGGGAAGTTTTTCCTTAGAGGCCAGAAAGCTCCGGGAGACGGCCACACACAAAGGTGAGGGCCCCACGATGCCCAGGACATCACGTGCAACAGAAATAACTGATACAAATTCAGGATGTGAGACAAACAGATTCCAAAACAGTAATATATAGCGTTAGCCTCTAACAGGTAAATTAATGGTGTGTGTATAAATAGGAAAAAATCTGCAATGACAGGTGCCGAGTTTTAACTTTGGTTCTCTCTGAATGGAAGGATAATGGGTAACTTAAAACATGCTGGTATTTGTATATATTTTCTGTCTTTCATAAAGCACGGTTTAGTGCTCAGGAACACACTGCATGGTACCTTCATGTTTCATAATGTGATTACAAATGAAACCACAGGGGCGCCTGGGTGGCTCAGTCGTTAAGCGTCTGCCTTCCGCTCAGGTCATGATCCCAGGGTCCTGGGATCGAGCCCCGCATCAGGCTCCCTGCTCGGCGGGAAGCCTGCTTTTCCCTCTCCCACTCCCCCTGCTTGTGTTCCTGCTCTCGCTATCTCTCTCTCTCTCTGCTAAATAAATAAAATGAAATCTTAACAAACAAACAAATGAAACCACAGCTGGAGCTGGGCGGTTAAGCGGAGAGCTTTGATGGGATAGAGCACTGGGGAAACCGGAAGTCTGTCGTCTGGTCAGAGTCCACTTTGAAGAGCGTCTGGCAATGCCCAGTAGAGTTAAAGACACCTGTCACCCTTCAACCCGGGAATTCCCCTCCTAGGCCCATGCCCTGGAGAGCAAGCAGAGCAGACCGCTGCCTGCGGACCAAACGCCGCCTCCTACCTGCTCTCTGTCCTACCGGAGAGTGAAGAATGGCTTTTTTTTTTTTTTTAAGATTTTATTTATTTATTTATTCGACAGAGAGAGACACAGAGAGAGAGGGAACACAAGCAGGGGGAGTGGAAGAGGGAGAAGCAGGCTTCCCGCCGAGCAGGGAGCCCGATGCGGGGCTCGATCCCAGGACCCTGGGATCATGACCTGAGCCGAAGGCAGATGCTTAACGACTGAGCCACCCAGGCGCCCCAAGAATGACTTTTAACTTCCCCAAATGGTTGAAAAAAAATTCAAAAGAAGAATATTTCATGACCTGAAAACTACATGAAATTCAAATTTCAATGTCCATAAATAAAGCTTTGAATTTTTTTTTTTTTTTAGATTTTATTTATTTGAGAAAGAGAGAGACAGAGATAGTGAGAGAGAGAGCACAAGTGGGGAGGAGAGGGAGAAGCAGGCTCCCCACAGAGCAGGGAGCCCGATGCGGGACTCGATCCCAGGACCCTGGGATCATGACCTGAGCCAAAGGCAGACGCTTAACCGACTGAGCCACCCAGGCGCCCAGCTTTGAATTTTTTAATTAAAAATTTATGGAAGGAGGGGCGCCTGGGTGGCTCAGTCGGTTAAGCGTCTGCCTTCGGCTCAGGTCATGATCCTGGAGTCCCAGGATCGAGTCCTGCATCGGGCTCCCTGCTCGGCAGGGAGTCTGCTTCTCCCTCAGACCCTCCCCCCTCTCATGTGCTCTCTTTCTCATTCTCTCTCTCTCAAATAAAATCTTTAAAAAAAAAAATTTATGGAAGGGGCGCCTGGGTGGCTCAGTTGGTTAAGCGTCTGCCTTCGGCTCAGGTCATGATCCCAGGGTCTTGGGATCGAGTCCCCACATGGGGCTCCCTCCTTAACACGGAGCCTGCTTCTCCCTCTCCTCCCCGCTCATGCTCTCTCTTGCTCTCTCTCTCTCTCTCAAATAAATAAAAATCTTTTTTAAAAAATGTGTGGAAATTTTTTTCTCTCGTTATATAAGTACCTACATAACTTTTCTTTTTCCTCTTGGCTCCCGAAGCCGAAAATATTCACTACCTAGCCACTTAGAGAAAAAGCCTGCCCACCCCTGCCCTAGAAAAATCCTTACACGTTCTTGCACCAGGAGACACCCGTGAGAATATTTGCAGTAGCACCTGATTGGAAACAAGCTAAATGTTCCTCACCAGGAGAGCAGATAAGCTGTGGCACAGTCATGGAACGTACTCTGTGCGGCAGTGAGCGGACGGATGAATGGACGAAGCTAAAATGAATTATCAACACGGTTAAATCTCAAGAACATTGAGAGGAGGGGAGAGCAAGCTGCGGGCGAGTACAGAATGATGAGCACCTATAAAACCACGCGAAACCACATGAAAGGACAATGCTTTAGGATGTGGACACGTGCAGTGAAAGAATAAGAAAGGCTGGAAAGGTCAGCACCGGGAGCAGGGGCTCGTCTGGGGCAGGGAAGGTAAAGAACTGCACTGGAACTGCATTACCCCCGCCCTGGCTTCCCCTGTAGCTCGGATGTCTCATTTACTAACGGAGTTAGTTAATCCCACCTGGAAACTTGCAAACGGGAGCCTCAGTTCTGCCCCACTCTGTAGGGGGGTAACTGAGACTCTCTCCAAGGGGCCATGACTCCCTCCTCTCAGTCAAGATTGGGTCTGGTCATAGGTGGCTTTTTAAAATCAGTAATGGCTTTCCTAGAGTCCTTGAGAACCAGGACTTAACTTAGCACAGGAAAAAGATAGATGAGGTTAAGTAAAAATCCTCTGGTCCTGAATTTTCATTTAAAGTATAAGTATGGGGGGCGCCTGGGTGGCTTAGTTGGTTAAGCAACTGCCTTCGGCTCAGGTCATGATCCTGGAGTCCCTGGATCGAGTCCTGCATCGGGCTCCCTGCTCGGCGGGGAGCCTGCATCTCCCTCTGACCCTCCCCCCTCTCATGTGCTCTCCGTCTCTCTCATTCTCTCTGTCTCAAATAAATAAATAAAATCTTTAAAAAAAAAAAAAGTATAAGTATGGGGGCCCCTGGGTGGCTCAGTCAGTTAAATATGTGCCTTTGGCTCAGGTCATGATCCTGGAGTCCCGGGATCGAGCCCCGCGTTGGGCTCCTTGCTCAGCGGAGAGCCTGCTTCTCCCTCTGCCCCCCATCGGCTCATGCTCTCTCTCTCAAATAAATAATAAAATCTTTTAAAAAAACAATAGAAAGTAAGGTATAAGTATGAACTTATATGTATTTTGTTTTTTGAACAATGTAAGCTCTGTTCATTAAAAAGACAGTAACAATAATGTAAAGAACTAAAATACTTAAAATATACTGAAATTAAAAAATATATATGTATATATGCTGAAATCAGTGAGTTAATGATACTTTAAAAAAATTAGTCACTGTTGGGGTATTCTGAGGCATCAACTCATTAAGTAAAAATTAAGGCAAAAGGGGCACCTGGCTGGCTCATTTGGTAAAGCATGTGACTCTTGATCTCAGGGTTGTGAGTTCAAGCCCCACACGGCCTAGAGCTTACTAAAAAAATAGTAATAAAAGCAAATAATTAAGCATTTATCTCATTTAAACTACTCCTGGTAGTCAAATAGTAGCTAAAAGAAGTTTCTTTTTCTTTTAAAAAAATAATTATAAACTTACAGGAAGTTGCAAAAAATAATACAAAAAGGTCCCATGTACCCCGCACCCAGTAATAATGTCTTGCACAAATACAGAACAATATCACAACCAGGAAACTGACATTAGTACAAGCCACAGACCTTGTTCAAATTGTATCCATTTTACATGTACTGTGTGAGAGGTGTGTGTTTAGTTCTATACAGTTTTATCACGTGTAGAGTCACACCACCACGAAGAAGTTTCTTTTTATAGAAGTATTCCAGTTGCCAAAAAAAAATAAAGAAGTATTCCAGTTGCCAAAGGAATACTAGAATTGGAATATCTACATTTTGCAACATCCAATGAAATGGCTGATCTAAGCACCAAACAATAGTCCTAATGGCTGTTACTATCCCAAAGGGAGAGAATTCAACATCATGTGCCTCCTGATGGAGGAACACAACATCTATGAAGTATTCTTATTCCCCCAAAGAATCAAACCCAAATCTGAGCAAGCCTCAAAAGTCAACTACCATGCGATGTACCACATTAATAGAATGAAGGACAAAAACCACATGGTTGCCCCAACTGATGCAGAAAAAAAAAGTTTAACAAAATTCAACACACTTTCATGATAAAAACACTCAACAAACTAGGAATAGAAATTACCTCAACATAATAAAGGTCACATATGAAAATATATGTGCCACAGCGCACATCATACTCAATGGTGAGAGACTGAAAGCTGTTCCTCTAAGATCAGGAACAAAGCAAGGATGCCCACTCTTGCCACTTGAATTCAACAAGTACTGGAAGTCTTAGCCAGAGAAATTAGGCAAGAAAAAGAAAGAAAAGGCATCCAAATTGGAAAGAAAGAAGTAAAATTGTATCTGTTCTCAGATAACATGATCTTATTTGTAGAAAACCTTAAAGATTTCACACACACACACACACACACACACACAAAACCCTGTTAGAACTAACAAATGAATTCAACCAAGTTACAGGATATAAAATTAACACATTAAAAAAAGCAGTTGCCTTCTATCCATACACAATGAGCAATCTGAAATTATGAAAACAATTCCATTCACAATAGCATCAAAAAGAATAAAATACTTGGAAATAAACTTAACCAAGGAAGCAAAAGACTTGTACACTGAAAACTATAAAACATTACTAAGAAGACACAAATAAATGCAAAGACATCTTGTGTTCATGGGTTGGAAGAACTTAATATTGTAACAATATCCGTAGGCCCCAAAGCAATCTACCAATTCAATCAATCCCGATCAAAATCCCAATGGCATTTTTGCAGAAATAGAAAAAAAAAGTCCTAACATTTATATTGGATCTCAAGGGCCCCTGAATAGTTGAAACAATCTTTAAAAAGACAATGTTCGACTCCTTACACTTTCTGATTTCAAAACATATTACATACAAAGCTACAGAATCAAAATACTATAGGACTGGCATAAACATAGATTTACAGACCAGTGGAACAGAATAGAGCCCAGAAATAAACCCTCACGTATATGGTCCAATGAGCTTCAACAGGGGTGTCAAGAACACACAACAGGGTATGGACAGTCTCAACAAATGGTGGTGGGGAAACTGGATATCCAAACATAGTTTGAAGTTAGACCCTTACCTTACGCCACATATAAAACAACTCAAAATGGACTAAAGGCCTAAATGTGAGACCTAAAACTATAAAACTCCTAGAAGAAAACACAGGGAAAAGTTTCAAGACATAGGATTTGGCAAGGATTTCTTTTTTTCTTTCTTTTTTTTTTTTTTTTTAGATTTTATTTATTTATTTGAGAGAGAGAAAATGAGAGACAGAGAGCATGAGAGGGAGGAGGGTCAGAGGGAGAAGCAGACTCCCCGCCGAGCAGGGAGCCCGATGCGGGACTCGATCCCGGGACTCCAGGATCATGACCTGAGCCGAAGGCAGTCGCTTAACCGACTGAGCCACCCAGGCGCCCCTTGGCAAGGATTTCTTAGACATGATGCCAAAAGCATGGGTAACAAAAGCAAAAGTAGACAAATGGGACCACAGCAAACCAACCGTGCCTCAAAAGGAAGCCCCCTCTGCCGCTAAGGCAGCCTCACCCCCACCTCCCAGCCCCCACCCCACTTGAGCCGCTTTCCCATCCCTCCACCTGCCTCAGCCTCAGTAAGGGGTTCCCCAAAGCCAGCTCACCGAAGGCTGCCCCTAAACTGAAGATTGTCCAGGCACCGGGACTTCTCAGAAACAAGGCGTTCTCCTGTGAGTGAATTTCGGTTTCTCTTTCCTTCTCGGCACCGGTCCAGAGAAGGGACTTGTGGGATACCCTGTCTCTGCGGCTCAGGCAGCCTCACGCAGATCCACGTGCTCACCTGGTTCAGGACTGGCCCCACCTACGTACGCCTGTCCCGTCAAGTGGAGATTCCAATTTTCATTTGCCTTTTCGCTTTACATACATCAGCCGGGGTTGCCCAGCGAGCCTGGCTAAAAGCAGAGCCATGCAGCAGGGAAAGCAGTGGGGATCTGGCCATGGCGACAGCGTGGGTCCTGGTGCTGGTGACCGTGGTGCTGGGCTTGGCCAGAGCAGGCCCTGTCCCTACTTCCAAACCCACCACAACCAGGAGGGGCTGCCACATGGACAGGTTCCAATCTCTGTCACCGAGGGAGCTAGGAGCCTTCAAGAAGGCCAGGGATGCCTTAGAGGAGTTGCTCTTGCCCAAGAACTGGAGCTGCAGCTCTCGCCTCTTCCCTAGGACCAGGGACCTGAGGCTGCTGCAGGCCTGGGAGCGCCCCGTGGCCTTGGAGGCTGAGCTAGACTTGACGCTGAAGGTCCTGGGGAACATGGCTGACTCGTCCCTGGGGGTCGTCCTGGACCAGCCCCTCCGCATGCTGCGCCACATCCACTCCGAGCTCCAGGCTTGTGTCCCGGCTCAGCCCACAGCAGGACCCAGAGCCCGTGGCCGCCTCCACCATTGGCTGCACCGGATCCACAAGGCCCCGAAGGAGTCCCAGGGCTGCCTCGAGGCCTCCATCACGTTCAACCTCTTCCGCCTCCTCACACGGGACCTGAAATGTGTTGCCAGTGGAGACCTGTGCGTCTGAGAACCTGGACCCACCCTCAGCCCATCTGGGACCCAGAACTTATGTAGGCACCGAGCCTCACCCCTGCCTTAAGTTATTTCCTCTCCATCCCTTATTTATGCAGCCCTGCTCTATACCCATAAGAAATGTTTATTTTTCTACTTTTGTACAACATGCAGCAAATAAACAGGAATAAGAAGAAAAAAAGAAAAAAAAAGAGCCACTACTGTGAAGACTGAGAGAACAGAGGAACGTGTTAAACGACAGTGCGGGCTGCAATGAGCAAAATGCAGGCTCTGGCAAACTTGAAAGGACTAAAAATCCAGCTTAACAAAAACATTTCAAGGGGAAAAAAGGAGAAAGTTGGGGTCCCTATACTCTACAGGGACAGCCTTTAGGGTAAAGATGACGTAAAGATGTATCCACCAATTGCAGTGTGGAGACCTTATTTGAGCCCTGACATAGTTTTTAAAATATGGATTTCTATGACAACTGGATTTCAGAACATTGATTGCATGATCTACCGCTATTAAAGAATTCTAAAAACTTAGATGTGATAATGGTATGGTGTTTTAAAAGTCCTTGTCTTGGGGCGCCTGGCTGTCTCAGTTGGAAGAGCATGGCAATTCGGGGTCGTGAGTTCAAGCCCTGCATTGGATGTAGAGATTGCTTAAATAAATCTTTAAATAAATAAAAGATAAATAAAAACTCCTTGACTTTTACATACACATACTGAAATATTCACAAATGAAATAGCTATCTGGAATTTGCTTTAAGAAATTTATGAGGGAAGTGGATGGATGGGTAGAAAGGAAACCAGGTTGGCTGCAACTTGGTAACTGTTAAATTGTTGAATCTGGGTTCAATGTACATGAAATTTGTAAATAAAAAGGTTTCTTCAGTGAGAAAATGGGAGGGGGGGATGTGGTTTAAGCAAGGTAATAGTTCATTCCTCCTTACATAAAAACTCTGGAGGTAAGCAGGGCAGGCTGGGTACGATGGCGGCTTCCTAAGCATCAGGGACCCAGCCCCTTCCAACTGCTGCCCCACCCTCTTCTTCACTTGGCTTCGGCCTCCGTCTCACATCGGGGCTCCACTCCAGCCAGCACAGCCCTTGCAGCCAGGAAGGAGGCTCAGGGTGGGAAGAAGGACAAGATCCTTTGATAGACAGGTCTTAGAAGCCACATAAACCACTTCTCCGTCCCAGTGACCAGACATAGCCACATAACCATGCCTGGCTACAGGAGAGGCAGGGAAAGGCAGTCTTTATTCTGGATGGCCACGTGTCTAAAAAATCAGGGCCAAGGGAGAAAGGGTGAGAGGAGATCGGGGTTCAATTGGGAGCGTCTGCCACAGCCCTTATCCCTCGGAGACTGGTAATCAGGCGTGGGGGGTGCCACGGACGGGCGCTCGAGGCTGGCAGCAGAGCCAGGGACAGCTGGTGGGCCTGATGATGTTAACTGTGCTTGTCATTTCCATCCACAGACGAAGCAATCTGCTCCCAAGTCAGCGCTCTGCCTTGGATGCGGGACTGAGGGCCTGGCTTCCTTGGCTCTCCCGGGCCAGGTGCGTGTGTCTCCAGGAAGTCACCGAGCCCAGCGCTGCCATTCCCCATGCTGTAGCTAACAGCAAACCCAACACTTACGTGGGCCTTGGTCTGGCCCGAGGCCTAGGCGATTTATTCGCCAATGCATGAGAATAGAGAAACCTGCTTCTTCTGTCCCTGATAGCTGAGGTTCCTCTAGGGGCCAACCCAGCAGTAGTCACCCTCATGCAGAGACTCTGCAGCTACCGAGAGCCCGGATGTCCTAAACCACAGCTGCTCTTAGCCCACGCTCAAGAGTTTTGCCATACATCCCGCTTTCAGGTCAACCTTCCTTTGAGAAAACACTTAAATTGATTTTTGAAGTCATCTATCATTGCTGTAGATGGAAAGCAGTACGGCCTGCTCCAGATGGAAGGCAACTGAACACCTAGCTAAGATTTTGCCTGAGGCTCCGTGCCCAACACCTGCTTCCTCTTTGGTCAAGACAAGCTAGCATTGAATGAACAGAACTTCCTCCTTAAGGCATCTAAATGGATCAGAAGAATTAAAGATGTAATTAATTTTTGTCATTATGTCCTCCAATGTTATTCAATGCCTGCCAATCACCACCAACAATCATTTCTCCTGGAGTCTGTACTCCCAGTCCTGAGAAGAATGGCTGAACTTTGTACACTTCAGTTTCCCCATCTTTAAGATGGGGATAACACGACCTAGCTTATAGGCAGGCTGACACGGTTACGTGGAATCATGCACGTAAAGTCCCAGCATAACCCAGCGCACAGTGTGAGCCCTCGAACGCAGAATGCCGCCTGTTGTCACGTATCAGTTTTGTGGAGGAGAAAATGTGAGTCCTGTCATTGAAGAATGTGGTTTGAGCAAAACAAACAAAAAAATCCAAGCAACCCAAACTTCAAAAGCAGCAAGGAGGGAGGGACATAAAACCCCAAACACTTGGTTTAATAATGGAAGACACTTTATTATTTTTTAAATCATCTCTCAACATTTCAACTCTTGGTAGAAATCAAATGCAAAACATCTGCTTTTTTAAATTAGCATATATTTATCCAGCTCAATCACAGCAACCTCATACAATAAGGTACACACCAAGGACAGGGGCAGAGCGTCTTCTCTTCCAGTCTGTGAACACGGTATCTCCATGGATGGCACGTGTGCCGGAACTTCTCTCCCAGACGAGGTGGGTACTCCTGCTTCTGCCCCCTGGGGGCACAAGTGACCTGGCATCACGGTTGGTGAAGTTCCTGTAGGCTGGAGCGATCTGGGAATGGAAAACTAGCAAACTAGCCCTCTCAGGAGTAAAACAGGCATCGATACTTCTGAAATGTGGAAAGGAAGAACATCAAAGATGATGACCCCAGAATGGCCTGGTCTTAGTAATAAAGGTGGTTGAAATTCAGCTGTATATACACATTGAACATCTACATGTGCTCTACCAGATATATAAAAAAGAGCCATAGAAGATCTGGAAAACCTTAAAATCACTCGACTGAGTTGGAAGAACATCAGCAAATTCACAGTGGCCTCAGGATTCAGCCAGATTTAAATTTGTTCAAGCGCTGAATACCTCCTTCTACTACCAGAAAACCCACTGCATGTAAATTCCTGTAATACTCTGTACATCACAAACACATATGGCTAAAATATAGTAGTTCACAAGGAAGCGGTTTTATTTTCAAATTCTTGCCCCACTCCTGCTCTGCACCCCAAAAGGAAAATCCAGGGGTCAGTCGTTCAGAGTTAAAGGGGCCTTCAGGTTTGGAAGCGCTGAGGCTCAGCTGAGTATCTCAGGAGACATCCGTTTGATGGGCACAGGCTGACTCGGGCCCACTTTTAGTGCAAAAAAGATCACTGATGTTGCAGAGGAGTCCCAGAAACAGGCAAAGAGCGCTGAGATGGAGGGGCGGGGGGAATCCCATAGGATTTTCCTTCTGAAACAAGACTCAAGACGTTTGGAGTGCGAGGTTCACACGCAGCGAGTGGCAAAGACCAGGCTGTTGATCTGCAGAGCAAGGCTCCTGAAGGTCACTAGGTTATCGTGGTCCGCAGGCGCACGGACCTCCCGGCCCGCACTAGCCCCTAAGGGTACGCTGGAGGTAGGTATATAGAGATTTATTGTAGGGAAGACAGTGGCTCTCCACCGACTCCAGGACATCGTCTGCTCCTCCTTTGCCCCCACACTCTCCGCTCCACCCTCGTGCTGTGGTGTGTGTAGGATACAACACGGAAGGGCATGAGACCCTCCCTTGGAAGACTAAAGAACCCAGGCCATTTGTATAAATAGCTACATAATTCATGTTTGAACCACTGTGAAACACACGGCAAGTTGAATATTTATTTAAAAATAAATCTCAAAAATATCTATTTACAGTACAGTAAGAGGGACATGTGCAAACAACAGAAAGGGGGAACAGTCCGTCCTGCCACGGAAGGCCCACACTCGGATGCGCCGGAGCAGAGTGCACGGACACCACGGGCCGAACCGAGCTGTGGTGGCAACAGAATGCCATTCAGGGACGACTGGACTCCGCTCGCTCATGAGACTTACGTAGGCGGAAGTCAGCAGGGTGCGGGAGTCCAGGCGGGGTTCCTTGCGTTTGGGAAGGGGGTGGCCAAAGGATGAGCCATGGGAAGAGGCCCGGTGTGGCAGGAGGGCTCATTTCACAAGCCAACAGGCCTCTAGCTCGGCGCTCCAGGTGGGCATTCGGAGGTGACCTGGAGGGCCCTTCCCAGTCCAAGTTGGCTTTGCAGTGGGAGGGGTGGGTGTGACAGGGGTCTCGGAGATAGAAATCCTCTTTGAAAACAAAAACAGACAACGGAACAGGGAGTGGAGAGATCAGCAAAAATGAATCTGAACGGAAGTGCCACCCTCCCCCTCGTCCGGTGATAAAGCAGCCGTCAGTTGAAATATCTGGGCCACCGAGTGAACTCCCACGTGGTGCAGCCAAGCCCACGATCCCCTGACACCTGCGCGGACACCTACGCGGTCAAATGCAGGTCTCTGCTTCTGAGATCAGTACACTAACACTTCTTCCCCGGAAGGGGACCGGAAAGTCAGTGGCGTAGCCCTTGGAGCAGGGGTGCAGGGTCCAGTCTATCTATACACGAGATGGGAGAGCTGGGTGGACTTGTAGTTCAGCTGGTTGTTGGGCATGAACTTGTGCAGCTCATTCTTTTTGCAGCAGGGGTCGTAATGGTAGGCGCTGAGACAGCCGTCGCAGGAGACTTTTGAACACTGGGTGCAGGTGTTGGTGGCACCCGGGCGGTTGCAGAAGCCGCAGCGGGAGGTGGCTGTGGTGGAGGGCTTGGGTTTTGGGTGGAGGTGCGGCAGCCGCTCGAGGCCCTGAGTCTGGCCCGCGTACTTCTCCCGCAGAGACGACCCGTGGGCCAGGCTCTCGTGGGCAGAGGCCTTGCCAGGGAAGGCGCCTGGCTTGGGGGCCGGGGGACAGGAGAGCAGGCTGTCGCAGCGCTGGCAGAGGGAGGTGCTGCAGGACAGCCCGCAGCTCTGGCACTTGGACAGCGAGGAATCTTTGGCGGGGGGGGAGCGCTTGTGGTAGAGGGGGTGGGCATCATTTCTGAGCAGCCACACGTCCGGCCGCAGGGCGTCCTGCCTCCGGTGCGTAGCCCTAGGCTCCGAGTCTGTGTACAGATCCACGTCATCCTGAGCGGAGAAGTATGTGCCACGCAGCAGGCCGAGGCCGTTGTTGGGGGAGGGCGGTGGCGGGTCATCCAAGCTTCCATGGGGGGCGCTGGACATGGTCAGGAGCGAGGGGGACGGACGGATGATCTCATCCTTGAGGTCATCCCCCAAGTCTGGTGCCATGGGCTCCTTCCGCAGGCTCAACGAGGCCTTCAGGGGTGGCCTCCGGCTCTCCCAGTAGCTGTCGTAGGCATCGACCGACCTGGAGGGCTTGGTCACCCGAGGCTTGTAGTAGTCCTTGGCCGCCCGCTCGCTGGCTGACTTCTGGAGCGCCACGCGGGCCATGGAGGCCGTCAGGTGCTCCCGGCCCTCAGCCCGCCGCCGCAGGGCCTCCGAGCAGCCCCGCACATCCTCCGTGCTGCTCTTGCGCTCGTTCACCACATCCAGCTCGGAGTAGCCCTTGTCCTTGACTTGTGAGTGGATTTCCAGCATCTGCTCACACTCCACCTTGGCCAGAAAGAGCTCAAAGGAGACCATCTTCACCTGGAGGGTCTCCACGAGTTCTTTCAGTTTGTACGCAGTCCCTAACTCAGGCACATAGCCCATGTAATGCAGGATGGCTCGGATGTCCTCTTCCAGTAACGACGACTTGACATAATAAACGAAGGGGCCCGTGTAGGTCTAGGAGAAGGGGATAGAAAAAGAGGCGGATTTGCTCTCTGAGACGCACACGGAGCCGGCTTCAGAGCCCAACACACCCGAGGCGGAGGGGGAGCACGGCGGGAGGAGGGAAGGATCTCAGCAGCTCCTCACTGCAGCAGGCAGAGGTCCGCTCAGCACATGGTGTGCGGGAATGTGCGGGAAACCGCGCGGCACTCCCGCCTCGAGCGGAGGGCACAAAGCCACCAGCTTCCCATATGGGGCTCAGCAACTCTGCTCCATATGAGGAGGAAACAGGGCAAACGGGGATGAAGAGAAGGGATCAGAGTAGAGGCAGAACGCCCAATGAGCAAGGAGAATATTCCTTTCTGGCATCTCTGCGAAGTTCTGAAGAATAACAGTCTGGCTTTGTGGAAACTCTCCTGAGCCGTCACTGCCTTCGGAATGATTCAGAGTTCTCTTTCTCTCTTAAATCCATCCTCTACCCTCCTGTCTGTTACTACTTAGTCCAAACCGGCTCTCAGGGTATCCCAACACCCATGGCAGCCTAACTGTTCTCGCCGCCCCACTAGTCTAGTTCCCATACAACAGCCAGAAGGGT